GACTTTAGAACAAAGGCTGTAATAAGAAACAAAGAAGGACCTAGTAATCCCACTTCTGGGTATTTATCCAAAGGAACCCAAAACCCTACTTTGAAGAGACTTGTGAACCCATATGTTTATTGTAGCATTATTTACAGTAGCCATTGTATGGAGGCAATCTCGGTGTCCACCATTAGATGAATGGATAAAGAAGAGGTGATATATATAGATATAGATATAGATATAGATATATATACACACACAATGGAATATTACTCAGCCATAAAAAAAAAATCTTGCCATCTGCAACAACATGAATGGACCTAGAGGATACTGTGCTAAGTGGAGCAAGTCAGATAGAGAAAGAGAAATGCCATATGATTTCACTTATATGTGGAATCTAAAGAACAAATTAAAAGGACAAACAATACAAAAGCAAACTTACAGTTACAGAGAACATTTTGATGGTTGCAAAAGAGAAGGGATTAAGAAGTACAAATTGATAAAGTATAGCATAAGGAATATATTCAATGTACTGTAATAATATCAGATGGGGACTAGATTTATCAAAGTGATCACTTCATAAGTTATAGAAATGTGTAATCACTATATGTATCCCTGAAACTAATATAATATTGTATGCCAACTGTAACTGGAAATTTTTTAAATTATTTTTTTAATTTATCAAGAAATTATTGACTACCTGCTATATGGAGAACAGCACGTCAGGTACTGGGATGCGAGTAAAGAAAAACCTGGCTTCATGGAGTTCGCAGGTGATGATCATTAAGTGTACCAGTGTTTAGAATATATCCATTGGATGACTGAAGGATAATTAGGTGACAGCAGGAGCCCAGAAGACAGAGCTCTACCCTAGTCCCTGTTCTGGGGCTTCCTGTTCTGGGAGTTGGCAGTTGAGCTAGATAGATTCTGAAGGGTCAGAAAGAGTTAGCACTGACAGAGGGGTGGGGTGGGGAATGCTGGGCAGCAGATATCTGGATCTTCATCCTCAGGCTAGTTTCTCCATGTTCTGTTTGAGAATAACTCTGTTTGCTAAAGAATCCAGAAGCAGAATGGTGGTTTAGTCCCTCATTAGGCCTATTTTTTGGATAGATGTCCAATGTCTTCTCTTTTTGTTTTCTGGCACTAAAATAGCTTTTAAAAAGGTTCTAACCTCTTCCATGATAAAACCACCAAGATTGCAAGACAATCAAAATCAAAACCAAGTACCAAAGAGGCTGCTTAAATTGTTCTTCCTGTCACTGCTTCCTTTTGGAGGGGAAAAAAAACGAGTAGATCAAAGTGAAATTAAATGCATGGAAATAACCCCAGGTAGATTGTTAAGAATACACTGTGGCCTCTTACCTCCTGGATTGTAGCCTTGTCTTTCTTTTCCAATTCTCCCCTACACCACAGCACACACATCCTCAGTCTCAGACGTATTTGCTACTATCCCCTCACCTCCCATCCTGTCCAGAGGTTTCTCTCTAGTTTCACTTCTGTGAAACTCATTAAAACATTGCCTAACAACAAAATTGTTAATGCTCAAATAAAGACTTAGATATAAATTATTCCAGATATATATGACTTTCTAGAGAGACTAAAGTTCTTCAAGAATCCAATGAATATGGCTATAATACCCTCTTAGATCATAACACGTTAGTAGTCATTCTTCTGACCCATTAATTATTAAACCAACCCAGCATATATTTCTCACCTCATTTACCTTCCCAAAACATCCAGCCCAATAAGTACAACTTGAATCAGGCATCACTGTATAAGATGAAAGGTAAACAAAGAAAGTGACATATAGGCAGCTGGGAAATGCAGACTTGTGAGCAGAGATTTTTTTTTTTATTCTTCTTGGAATGATAGGGGCAGATGCAAAATATATAGATGTAGTTTTTGTCTTTGTTTTTTGTTTTTTTTGTAGAGTTGAGGGAGATATTGTAAATGAAGTGCCTGGCCTTTTGTGGCCTTTCACAGTACATCATTCACTCTTTAAAGTTATCTCACGGGCAGCTGCTTTTCATGTTGCTGCATGGTCTGAAAGGAAATTACCACCGTCTTTGAAAAGAGAAGTCTCCAGTCCCCCATGGAGAATGTGCATGGGCGGCAAGGTTGGAACTGATTGACTCTGGGGCTCTTAGGGTCTCTACATCTTGGAGGGGCTTTTGCTTTGCTGACTCGCAGGTGGAAAGGAAGGAGGAAGGGTGATGCTTCACTCTTTGGTGTTTTCTGACCCAGTAGATGTCACATAGCCCTTTCTCTAGTGTCCTGTAGAGAGCTGGGACAATTCAACCTTCTTTTTTTTCCCCCTCACATTAATAGTCTTTTTTTTTTTTCCAGCTTTATTGAAATATAATAGACAGTTGTTTATATTTACATTGTACAATTCAATGAATTTTTTGTTATAGTTGGCATACAATATTAGTTTCAGTTGTATAGCATAGTGATTAGAGATCTAACTCAAAGTGATCACCACACTAATTCTAGTACCTGTCTTCTCCCTTATGTATTTATTACATTGTCGACTATTTTCCTTGTTACACTTTATATCTCCATGACTATTTTGTAACTATCCATTTGTACTTCTTAATCCCTTTGCCCTTTTTCACCATCCCCTCAACCCCTCTCCATCTAGTAGCCCTCAAAATATTCTCTGTATATATGAATTTATCTCCATTTTTTTGTTGTTGTTTATTTTGTTCTGTGGATTCCACATGTATGTGAAATCATGTGGTATTTGTCTTTCTCTATCTGACTTCATTCAGTGCAATACCCTCTAGGTCTATCAAGGCAGTATCTTTTTCCATCTTCTTCCTTTTACTCTGTGTGCATCTTTTAATCTGAAGTAGTCTCTTGTAGACAGCATATGTAGGAGTCTTGTTTTCTTATCCATTCAGCCACCCTCTCTTTGGAGTACTTCTTTTCCATTTGAGATATTCGTTGATAGAATTGTAGTTATTACCAGTCTTTATTCATGTTTTCGATACATATTTTTTTTTCTTAAGTTCCTCCAACATTTCCTGTAATACCGGGTTGGTGTTGTTGAATTCCTTTAGTTTATTTTTGTCTGGGAAGCTCTTTATCTGCCCTTCAACTCTAAATGATAGCTTTGCTGGATAAAGTATTCTTGGTTGTAGATCTTGAGTTTTCATCACTTTAAATATTTCCTGCCAATCCATTCTGTCCTGCAAAGTTTCTGTTGAGAAATCAGCTGCCAATCTTATGGGAGCTCCCTTGTAGGTAATTAACTGCTTTTCTCTCTTTTTTTCTCTCTTAACTGCTTTTAAGATTCTCTTTGTATTTACCTTTGGCATTTTAATTATAATGTGTCATGGTGTGGGCCTCTTTGGGTTCATCTTTTTTGGGACTCTGAGCTTCTTGGGGGTGTATGTCTAATTCCTTCACCAGGTTAGGGAAGTTTTCTATCATTATTTCTTCAAATAGTTTTTCAACTTATTGTTCTCCCTCTTCTCCTTAAGGTATCCCTATGACACGGAGGTTTTTGCATTTAATTTTGTCCCATAGGCTCCTGAAATTATTATGATAGTCTTGGCTTCTATTTTCTTGCCATTCTGATTGTCTTCGGCTTCCCCTTCCTCTTTAGCAGTGGTTCGATCCTCTTCTTCATTTACTCTATTAATTCCAATATATTCTTCATATCAGATAATGTGTCCTTCACCTCTGACTGGTTCTCTTTTATAATTTCCATTTTTATGTTTTTTATCTCTTTAAGTTCTCACTGAGTTCATCTACTCTTCCCCTAAGTTCATTGACCATCTTTATAACCAGTGTTTTTGAATTCTACATGTGTTACATTGCTTGCCTCTATTTTTCCTGGATCTCTGTTCTGTTCTTTCAGACGGTTTCTGCTTCTTTGTCTTCCCATTTTGGCTGTCTTTCTGTGGCTATTTCTATTTACAAAGCAAAGCTCCTAAGTCTTCCTGTCTTACTAGTGTGGCTTTGTGTAGTAGGTATTCAGCGGCACAGTCCTGAGAGGGGTTCAGTTGCAGGCCAACTTTAGCCCCAGGCTGTGTCCCTCTGAGGCACCTGTTAAGATTAAGCAAGCAATCCACAGATGCTATACTTATAGTTGCCTCAAGAGGCCATGCCAGAAACTGAGGTCAGCTGCCACCAGTGTGGGTCTTAGATCTGCTCAGTCAGGGACACAGGACTCGCCAAGGACACGACTGGATGTGGCTTGAGTAGGGCCACGAGTTGGGAGAGGCGGAGTTTCAGGGACTCCTCTGGGCGGAGCGGCCTCTGTTACCCAGTTTGATGACATCTCAGCTATGGTGGCACTGTGTCCGCACACTGGGAGTGTGGAGGGCTCAACAGAGGAACCACGGATACCACCAGCATTTCTGCCTGGGAGAAAGCCTTGCCTCTGGTCCTCGCTCTGACAACTCAGTATCCCCTTGTAAGTCCCTGGTGCTCCCCATGCAGGCAACCAGGCGCTAGTGCTCAGAGCCAGCAAGTCTGTCATCATGAAAGTCCAGTCATGGACACGGCCCCTTTAAGAGATACCTGCTGCTGCTGGCTTGCCGCTGCCATAGAGATACCTGCAGCTGCTGGCTTGCCGCTGCCATAGAGATACCTACAGCTGCTGGCTTGCCTCTGTCCCATTCAACCACTTGGACCAGGCAGCCTCACATCTTCACCCCCTCCTACCTTCTACCATTGCAGATTGATGTCTTATTTCTCTCCCTAGTTGTAGTGCTTTTGTTCATCTAGATCCCCAGATGACTCTGCTTGCTGTTCGTTCTGTGTTTCCATCTCAACTTTGTTGTGGTCGCAAGAGGGGATGAGTGAAGCTTCTATCATTTATGCCATTTTGCCTGGTCTCTATAAATGTGGATTTTTAAAATAGAGTGTTAATTTTTGTTAAAATGACATTTGACACAATCAAAAAGCCAAAACTTATCTTGGTTCAAAGTATATTCATAAGATGGCCTTTGGTAAAGTAATAGATATCTTAATATTTTTATTTGGTTTTATTTTCCTTTTGGAACCAGGTTATTCAGAGAATATTCTACACAGTCAACAGATCTTGGAGTGGAAAAATTACTTCAACAGAGATAAGAAAAAGCAACTTTTTGCAAGTATGCCTCTCATTGGAATTCATATATAAGGAGCAATTTAAATAATACTCTTCACTTAACAAATATTGGAGTGCTTATTGTATGCAAAGCTCTGTCAGTACTTCAGTCATTAAGCATTTTATCAGATACCTAAGATGGGGGAACAAAGGTGAATAACAAGGGATTTTCGCATCAAGGCATGCATTATAGAGCAAACAGGGAAAGTGTACAACCACACCTGACTTGAAAAATTCCACAGAAATGTATAATAAATGTGCAGAGAAGTCTTTACAAAAGGACTGGCATGTGATCTTGACCTTGAAGATATCAGGAGTTTAACAAGATAAAAAATCAGAAGAAAAGGGAATTCCAGATAGAAGCAGCAGCATAAGCAAAGGCCCAGAAGCATGAAAAGTGTCATGCAGAACAGTCTTAAATGACTAAAGGCTCCACAGAGACAGCGACCAGTGATAAGGCCTGAGGGGTGAGATGGGCCAGGTTGGGAAGGGCCTTGCATAGGTAAAAGGAATTTCCACTTGATCCTTTCAGCAGTGACTCTATTCAGCTCCTGCTGGAGAAAAGTACTAAAAATTCCTTTTTAACAAAGAACTTTCATTCAATTATTTTATTTTATAAGAATATATTGACCACTAGTGGGAGCCTTTTACTGATAATCTTCATGCTGATTGTTCAAGCTTCTATATAAACCTAAAAGAAGTACAATTATTCACATTTGACAGGAAGTGAAATATTTTAAATGAATTATACCAAATGAAGTTTAGGCTAATAAGACAACCTTATTTACCCTTAATTTTTCCTGTCTTTATCTGGGACAAAGTAAGAAGACTTGGCAAAATTAGCAGCCCATAATAGGTATATAAACTTATTTCATTCTAAAACAAACAGTAATATCACAGTCATTATTAATAATTATTGAACACCTGGTACCTGCTTGGTCTCTCAGTTGGTAATATGGGGTGGGTTGAGATAGCAATAATTCCATAAAAGAGGCCTTCACCTTAAGAATGATAATTTCTGACATTCCTGAAGCACATTAGAGTGTGTATTTTCTGGATTATTATTATGATTCATATTGTTTTTACTGATGATAAAATTTGCAGTCCGAATGTGACTGAATAACTTGGATAAGCTCAAACAGCAAATAAGTGGCTGAACTGGAAATAGAACTCAAGTGTTGTGCTTCCTAGAGCATGATTGATTTTCCCCTGTCTTCTTCCCTGCTCTTCTCCTTAGTCTTTCTCTTAGTACATGAATATATAGTTATAAAACATTCAAATAACATGAACATATCTAGAATAATAATCTGAAGTCTTTATCTCTTCATCCTGTCATTTCACTCCCTTTTCCAGAGGGAACCTATTTTATCTGTGCTTTTATTCTCTTATATATGTATGCATGCAGTATACAGTTTTGTTTTGTATTTTTTAATATATGAGACCAAACAAATTATTTTGTTGACATTTTTTTCCTTAACAATATGTCCTGATGTTCTTTTCATTCCTATTCAAATAAATCTATCTCATTCTTTTAACTACTGCATAATATATGGCATGGCTATACCGTCTATAATTACATATTATTCTGTTGATGATGTTCAAGTTGTTTTCATAATTTCCCTGTTACAATGATGCCATGGGCACCCTTGTACTTTCTTCTTATAAGAATTTCTCTAGAATAGATTATTGGAGGAGAAATCCTGGATCAAATGGTATGTGCATTTTCGGTTTGATAGATCCTGCCAAGTTACCCTCCTAAAAGCCTGTAATACTTTATACTTGTACTTACATGCTCACCAGCAACAGAAGTTATCCATCTTTTTTATTTTATGAAAATGAAAGCTCCTTGCTTCTCAAACTTTGTTTTATTGTACATATTCTACTTTATACACATTAAAGAGCATTTAATAAAACAAAACAAAACACTTCAAGCAAGTTTGGAAAACAAGAAAAATCATATTTTATCACTAATACAACTAATATCATTTTTGTATGTGTTATTCTAGTCTCATGCATATGCATATTTGGAATTTAGGATTTTACATAGTTTTTAATTTGTACAATCTTGTGTTCTCTATTTTGCACTTAACCACATCATGGTTTTCCTTTGTCTCTACATAAATTTTATAATTTTTACTGGCTGCATAATCTTCCATTGGGTAGATTTCCTTTAATAACTTATATTATTTTCATTTTGCCAAAGCATTTTGGTGTCCCAGCATTTACATTTTAGAAAATATTTTTAATCAAAGTTAATACATTCGCATTATGAAATAGTCACCTTTGTCCCTTCGTGTTTTTTACCTTGAATTCCATTTTATTTTCCAATAATATTGACACGTTTTATTTCTGTTAAAATTTACCTACTATATGTTTAGTTAATATATGTTTGTCCATCTTTTGTTTTTTAACATTTCCTTTAAATTTTATTTTAGACTTATCTTTTCTGGACAGCATATACCTAGATCTGTTTTGGAGTTTGATTTTCATAATCTGAAAATCTTTTAATAGGGAGATTTAACTCATTTATGTTTATTGTGATCGTTGATATATCTGATATTATTTTTGTCATTTCATTTTGTTTTTCCTATTTATTTCCTAAGTTTTCTTATGGTTTCTTTTAGCTTTCTTTCTGAATCTTTTATTTCTAAAAATGTCTTCATTTACCTGCCCACTTATATGATAATTTGGCTGATGATAAGAATTCTAGTTTGAAAATCATTATATCTGGTCTTTTCCCTAGGGGTGCAGGGTACACAATAAGTCAGAAGAGATCTAGGGTTACTTCTAGCTCAGGGCCCTGCAGCTTCACCCCCCATGTTTCTATGCAAGGCTACCACATGTCTTTACAATGGTATACATAAGTCACCTTTACAGTAAACTTCATTTCATTACGAAACCAAACACAGTATGTGGATGGTCACTCTTCATAATAGAATAGATGCTCACTATTCATTACCTTGAAAAGTTAAAAGTGATGTCATGTCAGTTTAGGGCCATGTAATAAGCCTGTTGTCTAACTGTTCTGCACTTGCTAGTTTGGAGTCCTCTAATAGGCTGCAGTCCCCTTGGTGATGGTCCCTCCTTTTTCCTGTTTTAAGTCCTCTCCATCATCTAACCCTTTGCTAAGCGGATTACAGAGCTCATAAATGCTTATAGATTGATCAGTTATTTAAAAGGAGGATGAGGTTGCCTATTGAAGTTCCTGATTTGATACCAAAACCAAAATTTTTAATTCAATTTAAAATAAAATTTTACTAGATTCCATATAATGGCCAAAGCTGGGTTTTCATGATTTTAAAATAAATTTCCTTCTATTCATACCATTTCAGACTCTAGCCCTTTTGGAAGAAGAGGAAGATATAAACCAAATCACAGACTACTTCTCCTATGAACATTTTTATGTTATTTATTGTAAATTTTGGGAGCTAGATAATGATCATGACCTCTGCATCAGCCAGGCCGATCTGTCTCGCTACAATGACCAGGGTGAGTGTTTCTAAAGATGATAAGACTTAACTGTTTTAAAGAAGACAAGAGTTATATAAATTGTCCCTACTCATTATGGGGAATTCCCATTTATTAAATTCTTTACCAAATCAGGTCCTCTTTAAAGGATTTTAAAGTGAGAATTTTAAGTGAGAATGGGTGAAGATACTAATTTTTTATTTAGAAGCCCGGTATAGGAGAAGGGGTTAGGTGGTAAGTAAGCAATTATAGTCTTAGTTTTGATGAACTGGCAAGTCTTTATAGTGATATTTTTCTGATGATGAATCAAATAAATTCAGATTCACACCTATGTGAAATTCATCTGAAAGAGAATGTGTTTACATCTTTATAAATTTCCTATTTTAAAGTATTTATACACAGCCAAGGATGAAAATAATGTTTCTTACATGACAATGTTTACAAGGACTTATAAAAATATACTTTTCAGAATTTAGTTCCAGGAGATATTTTCCTTGTGTGCTTTCTTATGTCAGAAAACAAAAAAATTACATATTACATGTTATTACCCTTTTTGCTTCATTTTTACCAGTAGTAGACTTAGAACTTCTTACCTGCTGATTTAATATTTTTAACCATGCACCAAGATAGACTGATTCATTCATTCTTCTCTCGTAAGACTGCCCGTGTTCTATTCATAAATGTCTTCTCAGGCACTTTTGATTTTTTTAAAATCAGCCTTAGCCTTCTAGATGTAGCAGAGTACAAATCTTAAATAAATGTATTGAATTTCACTCAGATATTTGACGTATCTGAGACTACTAGTATACCTCTTAAGAAAAGGTTTATTCTATATGATGTTGAGTCTCATAGAACTTTCATATTTAAAAAACAAGGGTCTACTTTTCAAAATTTTAGGTGCCAACCAGGCTTCAAGAGGAAATACTCAAATGTACTTATTTGTTAAGCATTTTAGTACTATATCATCCTTTCTTCAAGTACTCATAACTTTCTTGTCACCAAAATAGCATAAAGATAGAGATGTTCAAAGGAGTATTGGGTCAGCTTTATTAGCTGTGCACTTTCTAAATACCACTGGCCAGATCATCTGTATATAATCCAGCTTCCAGAGATCATGTGAAAACCCTATGGGCTCCAAAGTACCGTCTCTGAATGATATAACAATAATTCTCATTAAGTACCAAAATATTGTATATCCATACATAGCAACTCATTAGAGGTATGTTAAAGGGGTGAAATCCAGAAAAGCAGGCATCTAGGCCTGCATAAGGAAGGGGACTCTGAAACCCTACAAAATTGCCCACCCACCACCCGATTCTTAATAGGAGAACATAATCTTCAGTTTTAGGAGGCTAAACCTTCCAAATCTTAAAAGACTTTCGAAAAGACTTCAATATTGGAATTAAATATTCTTGCCTTTCCTATACAGCCCTCTTTTTTCCTATCTCGTACAAATTATTAACCCCATAAAAAAATGCTCAACAAAGTTTAGAGGGTCCTTATATAAGCTTTGGTATGTGGCCAGACACAGCTGTACTGACACCTACATTCCCAACATTCTTCAGCCAAACTAATCGACCTGTTTTGTTGACTATATCAAACTTTATGCAGAAGAGTTAGTGTTGATAGCTCTAACGCTAGTGACCTTATCACTGGTTCTGAAATTTTAGTGTGTATGCCATTGTCTCGGGCACTTGTTAAAAAAAGATTCCTGTCCTCACCACATCCCTAGGTCTGAGATCCACTGTGATATTCTTTTCTTTAAAATTAATGCCTTTGTTTATTTTGAACCCATAATGAGAAGGTACATTGATATAGATTCTTTAGGATCTATCATAAAAGTAGCATACTATCTTAAGATATAATTGTCTCTCTCTTTGAATAAAACTGATGGAATTTCTAAAAATTATACATTATATCATGTGATATTCTGGACTTTTATAGAATAAGAATATAAGAAATGTTTGTTTTTGTATCTTTTGTAAAATTCTACTTGAAAGCATTCTCCATTGTTTTACTCAGTGTTATTAGGAGCTGACTATCAGTACCCCTTTGAATGCTTGGATAAAATTTGTCTTGTTTTAGTGGAAAAATTGTCTTATTTGATAACAAGATCAATACAACTTCAATACATTTTTGTCTTAGTTGTCAGGATATTCAGAACTAACTTGGAACTTAACTATGTTAATACATCCCAGCTATCAGGCACATCTATTCGCCTGTTCTTTTTTAAATGATTGATTGAGCCACCTCAAATTCCTACTTTCAAAAAGTGTTAATTATACATAAGTAAAAATTTAAATACTCATATTCTCATCACAGAAGATTATTATGTTTCTAGTTTGTAGCTACTGAAAATAAATTTGGCAAAAGTACTGCCTTTCTGGAGCATATTTCTAACTAGCTTTGTACTTTCTTATTTACATTTAGCTTTGTCAAACAGAATTATTGAAAGGATATTCTCTGGGGCAGTAACAAGGTAAGAAAAAGCATCTGAATTTAAAAATGAACTACAAATAAAATTGTAACAATTGCATTTTAGTAAGGTTTTTGCATAATTTGGCAGTGCCGTAAGTCAGATAATAACCTACACTATATACAGTGATGACGGCTTCATTACAAGGCAGTAGTAATTCTTTAATATATGAGCATTGGTCCTTTAGTACAGGTAACAGTATTTGATCCCAGTGAGTATTTGCATTTAAAATAGAAACCAGATTTATTTCTTCATATATACAAATGTCTTCTGGTTTTAGCCTCTAGGCCTTTGAAAACAAGACAGACCATGGAAGGAGTTGCCCTTAATGAGGTTTTCAGCATTCTCATTTTTTTTTAAAGTTAACTTAATTTCCAAAGAAAAATATTATTTTATTTCTTTGTCTATCATCCTATTAAACTTATCTGAGAAAATTTTATCTCAGGAAAAATTTATCTCAGGAAATTTTAAAGCCATGTTTTTGTTTTTGTTTTCAGGGGAAAAACAGTACAGAAAGAGGGAAGAATGAGTTATGCAGATTTTGTTTGGTTTTTGATCTCTGAGGAAGACAGAAGGAACCCCACCAGGTATGACTAAGTTTCCTTTGCCAGGATGTTAAAACGCATGAACAAAGCTTGGTACCCTAGCTCGAACTAGGGGTACCAAGATGGATTAGAGTTAGTCTTTGCCTCTGACACTGAATTCAGAGTCTCACAGCATATCAAGAAAAATGCTGTTACCCCCCAAAACAAAGTCTTTCCTATGCCAGGTCTGTCAGGATTAGATACAGAAAATGTTTTTGGATAGATTGTTCTTTGTGGACAAGCTCTTGCAATGCTCTTTTGATATTTCATTTAACCACCCTCTGTCCTGGTTTTTTATCACATTCTACTTCTACCTTAGTCTTCTGACTAGCAAAAACCTCCAAACATTCAGGACTTGGGGATATCAGGAACCTTGAAAAAGGGAGCAAGGTCAAGGTAAAGATAGAGCCAAAAATCAGGAGAGTTTATACAAAGTTTGTTTAAAAGGAACAGTTAATCTCCAGATTATCTCCTCTACCCAGGCAGAAGACTAGTGCTTTATTCCCTGAAGAATGTAAAATAGAGGGCCTTTATACTGGAGAGCACTAGGCACAACTGAAGATATGGGTACCATAGTGAAAATAGATTAAATGAATATATGATACTGAATGCTGAGGTGCCCAGTCTTCATTCCTCACTGAGCTTGAACCTCCAGGCAGAGAACTAAAATATGCTTTTCTAGAGAATCTGACCAGCCCAAGAATAAAGACCTTAAGATTTGACATTAGGTCATCCCCAAGGAAACAACCCAGCCAGATCATTGTACAATGAAGCTCAGAGTCAACAAATCCATAGGTTAGAACTTCCAATCAGCTTTTTATCATTTACTCCTAAATATGTGCAAAGAACAAAAGATTACTAAATACCTGAGTAGAACCTATTACACAAAAGATAGAGATGAAATAGAAGAATGGTAGAGAAAGTAACTTTGATGAAACAATTTCAAGGAGAATAAATCTTCAGCAGTAACAAAGACAATTATTGATATCCTCAGAGAGATAAGAGAAATTACAATCACAGAACATAAACAGAATGATACTTTTTTAAAAGGAACATTGAATGAACCAAGAAAGAACTCTGGAAAATCAAAACTATGATAGCAAAAATGAAAAAAAGAATGTTCAGAAGATTAAGCTAAGAAAACATTCCAGAAAAAAGAAAGCAATAGAAAATAGAGACAAGATATGAAAATTAGAGAACCAGTTTAAAAAGTCCAATGTAACTGGAAACTGAAATATGACTTAAGCCATATATGTATGTAATTTTTTAATTTAGCCATAACAGAGTGATGTCAGCCAGATGGTGGAATATAAGTTTCCATTGCTCATGCCATTGCAAAAACATCAATTTGAACAAATGCCCATGCACAAGAGATAAAGATTCCATGTGAAAGATTGTAGCACCTGGGTAACAGAAATAAGATGCACCGAAGAGAACAGAATGAAAAAAAAATCTCACATTACCTGTGTTAACCCATCTTCTAAGCCCAGGCAGCTCAGCATGAAGAGAGACACCCTCCCCATGGTTGAAAAGAGCACCCAACTTGGCTGTGGACTTCAGCACTAGGCCTGCTCCAAGCACCAGGTCAGCCCCCATGGCCCTGGGCTCCAGACTTAACCCTGTGGTGCCAGTCCCTGAAACACCAGACTCAGGTAGACTACTGCAAACCCAGACTCACCAGCACGAGTTTGGCTTCTGCAGCCCAGACTCACCCCAGTTCCCAGACCATCACTGGAGCCTCAAATTCTTAAGAGTCTTTTGAAAGCAGCAAGAGAAAACCAACTCATAACATACAAAGGGAACCACTATAAGACTAGCAGTGGATTTCTTAGCAGACAGCTTGCAGACCTAGAAAGAATAGCATGATATAGTGAAAGTGATGAAAGAAAAAACTGCTAACCAAGAATATTCTACCTTACAAGGCTGTCTTTCAGAAGTAGAGATAAAGACTACCAAACAAAATCTGTGAGAGTTCATCACCACTAAACCTGACTTAAAAGAAATGCTATAGAGAGTTTTTCAAGTTGAAAGAAAAGAACGCTAACATGAAAATATAATCAGTATAAAACTCATTGTAAAGGTAAAAATATAGTCTAATTTAGAATGCTATAATGGCGGTGCCATGAATCATTTGTAATTTTGGTATAAAAGTAGAGTATTAAAAAACAAATAATTTGATACTGTATTCACAATTTATAAGACATATTAATTGTAACATGAGTAACAAAATGTGGGGAAGAAGTTTGAAAACAGAGTTTTTGTATGTAGTCAAAGTTAAATTGTTATCAACTTAAACTAGACTGTTATAACTATCAGGTGTTTTAAGTTAGCTTCATGGTAACCATAAAGAAGAAACCTCTAGTACATATACAACAGATAAAAAGAAAGGAATCAAAGTATACAACTGCAAAATGTTATATGACAAAGGAAGTTAGCAAGAAAGGAACGACAGAACTACAAAACAGAAACCAGTGAACAAAATGGCAATATTTAAGTCCTTACCTATAAATAATTACTTTAAATGTAAATGGATCAAAAGCACCAATAAAAAGACATTGAGTGGCTAAATGATTAAAAGCAAGACTCTATAATATGCTGCTTACAAGAGATTTATTTTAACTTTAAGGACACACATAGACTGAAAGTGAAGGAATCGAAAAAAGATATTCCATGCAAATGGTAACCGAAAGAGAGCAGGAGTGGTATCGCTTATATCAGACAAAATAGACTCTAAGTCAAAAACTGTCACAAGATAAAAATAAGGTCATTATATAATAAGAAGTAAATTCATCAAGAGGATGTAGCATTTGTAAATATGTATGTACCCAACAACTGAGCACCTAAATATATAAAGCCCATATTAACAGAACTGATGGGGACAATTGACAGCAATACAATAAATATAGGAAACTTCAGTACCCCACTTGCAACAATGGATAGATCACGTAGATAGAAAATCAATAAGGAAACAGTGGACAGCACTAGACAGCACATGGACCTAGCAGACATACAGAACATTTCATCCAACAGCAACAGGATATACATTCTTTTCAGGCACACAGGCACAGACAGATCTCCAGGATAAATCATATGTTAGGCCACAAAACAAGTCTCAATAAATTAAGAAGTCTGAATTATATCAAGTATCTTTTCCAATGACAATGATGTAGAACTAGAAATTAATAACAGGAGGAAAATTCACAAATATGTGGAAAGTAAAATGCTCCCAAACAACCAGTTAGTCAAAGAAGAAATCAAAATGGAAATCAGAAAGTATCTTGAAACCAACAAAAGTGGAAACATAAGGTGCCATAAATTATGGGATGTAGCAAAAACAGTTCTACAAGGAAAGTTTTTACCAATAAATACCTACATTAAGAAAAAAGGATCTCAAATAAATAACCTAACTTTACACTTCAAGGAACTAGAAAAAGAACAGACTAAACCTGAAGTTAGCAGAAGTATATAATAAAGATCAGAGTAGAAAGAAATTAAGTAGAGACTAGAAAAATAATAGAAGAGGTCAGTGAAACTAAGAGTTGGTTTTTTGAAAAGATAAAATTCACAACCCTTTAGACTAAGAAAAAAAAGACGCAAATAAAATTATAAGCGAAAGGGGAGACAACTGATACTACAGAAATATAAAAAAATCACAAGAGACTACTACTGTGAACATTTATATGCCAATAAAGTAGATAACCTAAAAGAATGGATTAATTCCTGGAAACACACAACCTATCAAGACTAAATCATGAAAAATAGAAAATAGGAACAGACCAATAATGAGTAAGGAGATAGAATCAATAATCAAAAATCTCCCCAACAAGAAGAGCCTGAGACCTAGTGGCTTCACAGGTGAATTCTACCAGTTAAAGAAGAATTAATTCCAGTCTTCAAATTCTTCCAAGAAACTGAAGAGGAAGGAAAATTTCCAGGCTCATTTTATGAGGCTAGCAGTACTTTTATACCAAGCCAGGTAAGGACACTACAAAGAAAAGAAAATGATAAGCCAATATGCTTGATGAATATAGATGCAGAAATCCTCAACAAAATGCTAGCAAACTGAATTCAACAGCACAAGATCATCCTTGCATCCCTGTAAAAGGATCATACACCATGAGTTTATCCCTAGGATGCAAGGATGGTTCATTACACGCAAATCAATAAATGTATACTACATTAACAGAATGAAAGATAAAAATTATATGATCAGCTCAGTATCTGCTTTTGTTGCCGTTGCTTTGGTGTCAGATTAGGAAAATCATCGCCAAGACCTATGTCAAGAGTTTATCACCTGTTTTCTTCTAGGAGTTTCATGGTTTCAGGTCTTATATTCAAGTCTTAAATCCATTTTAAGTTAATTTTTGTGTATGGTATAAGATAGTGGTCCAGCTTCATTCTTTTGCATGTGGCTGTCCAGTGTTCCCAGTACCATTTATTGAAGAGACTGTCCTTTTCCCCATTGTGTATTCTTAGCTCCTTTGTCATAAATCAAATGACCATATAAGCATGGGTTTATTTCTGGACTCTGTTCTGTTCCATTGATCTATGTTGTTTTTATGTCAATACTGTACTGTTTTATTATTTTTTTTGTCTTTATTGAAATAGACAATTAGTTGCTTATATTTACATTATACAATTTAGTGAGTTTTTTAAATTACAGTTGGTATACAGTAATGTATCAGTTTCAGCTGTATAACGTAGTGATCAGAGGTCCACACAACTCGCAGTGATCACCCCACTAAATCTAGTACCCTTCTTCCCCCTTTACGTATTTATTACATTGTTGACTATTTTCCTTATGCTACACTTTATACCTCCATGAATATTTTTTAACTATCCATTTGTACTTCTTAATTCCTTTACTCTTTTTTACCATTCCCCCAACTCCCCTCCATTTAATAGCCCTCAAAATATTCTCTCTATAAATGAATGTCTCCATTTTTCTTGTTGTTATTTTGTTCTGTAGATTCCACATGTACGTGAAATCATGTGGTATTTGTCTATTTCTATCTGACATTTCATTCAGTGCAGTACCTTCTAGGTCCAGCAAGGCAATATCTTTTTCCATCCCCTCACTTTTAGTCGGTGCATGTCTTTTAATCTGAATTTAGTCTTTCGTAGGTAGCATATGTAGGAGTCTTGTTCTCTTATCCATTCAGCCACCTTCTCTTTGGTTGGAGCACTTAATTCATTTCCATTTGAGGAGCTTGTTGGTAGGAATGTAGTTATTACCGGTCTTTATTCACGTTTTTGATACATGTTTTTCTTTCTTAAAGAAGCTCCTCTAACATTTCCTGTAATACTGGATTGGTGTCAATAAGTTCCTTTAGCTTATTTTTGTCTGGGAAGCTCTTTATTTGTCCTTCACCTCTAAATGACAGCTTTGCTGGATAAAATATTCTTGGTTGTGGATCCTGGGTTTTTATCACTTCGAATATTTTGGGTCAAGTCCTTCTGTCCTGCATAGTCTCTTTTGAGAAATCAGCTGCCAATCTTACGAGTGCGCCCTTGTAGGTAACTGCTTTTCTCTTGCTGCTTTTAAGATTCTCCCTTTGTGTTTAACCTTTGGCATTTTAATTATGGTGTGTCTTGGTGTAGGCCTCTTTGAGTTCTTGGTTTTTGGGACTCTCTGAGCTTCTTGGGTTGTATGTCTATTTCCTTCACCAGGTTAGGGAAGTTTTCCATCATTATTTCTTCAAATAGTTCTTCAACATCTTGTTATTTTTCCAGTATCCCTATGACATGGATATTTTTACCTTTAATAGTGTCTCAGAGGCTCCTTAAATTATTATTATAGTCTTGGCTTTTTTTTTCTTGCCATTCTGATTGAGTGTCCTTGGCTTTCCCATCCTTTATATAGGTCATTTGATCCTCTTCTTTATGCATTTTGTTTATTCCATTTAATATACTTCACATCTCAGATAATGTGTTCTTCGTTTCTGACTAGTTTCCTTTTATAATTTCCATTTCGATTTTTGGGTTTTTTAAAATCTCTTTGTTAAAGTTCTTACTAAATTCATCTACACTTCCCATAAATTCATCGAGCATCTTTATAACCAGTGTTTTGAACTTTGCATCTGTTAGATTGCTTGACTCCATTATTTCTGGGTCTCTGTTCTGTTCTCTCACATTGTTTCTGCTTCTTTATCTTCCCATTTTGGCTGCCTTTCTGTGTCTATTTCTGTGTACCAAGCAAAGCTCTTAAGTCTCCTGGTCTTAATAGTGTGGTAGGTGTCCAGTGGCACAATACTGAGAGGGGTTTAGCTACAAGCCAGATTTAGTCCCAGCCTATGCCCCTCCGGGGCCACTTGTTAAGATTCAGCAAGCAATTCACAGATGCTATGCTTATAGTTGCCTCAAAAGCCACACCAGAAGCTGAGGCCAGCTGCCACCAGTGTGATTCTAGGCACTGCTCAGCAAGGGGCACCTAAGCGAGTACACACCTGGATGTAGTTTGGGTGGGGCCCTGAGTTGGGGGAGGTAGAGTTTCAGAGAATCCTGTGGGTGGAGCAACTTCTGTTATCCAGGTCGATGACATCTCCGCTATGGCGGTGCTGAGTACGCACTCTGAGCGGTAGCAGGGCTCAACAGAGGAACAATGGATACTGCAGGCACTTCTGTACAGAGTGAGTCTCACCTAGGCCCTCACTCCAACAACTCAGTTTGACCCTGTAAGTCCCTGGTGTCCCCCATGCAGCCGACCCTGAACTGGTGCTCAGAGCGAGCAGGTCTGTCACCATCAAAGTCCACTCACAGACACGGCCCCTTTAAGAGGCATCTGCAGCTGCCGGCTACTGCTGCTGCAGCCTCCATCCCACTAAGCCGCTTGAGACTGGACAGCTCGCATCCTTGCCCTGTCCTACCTACCTTCTGCTATTGCAGGGTGATTTCTTAGATTTCTCCATAGTAGTTTGGTTTGTTCATCTAGATCCCAGGCGATTTTCCTTGCTGTTTGTGCCTTGTTTCTGTCACAACTTTGGTCACCAGAGGGATGAACAGAGCCTCTATCTATGTCATTTTTTTCTGCCTCCAATACCATACTGTTTTGGAATATATTTTGAAATCAGATAGCGTGATGCCTCTAGCTTTGTTCTTGTTGCTCAAGATTGCTTTGACTATTCACATTCTTTTATGGTTTGTACTAATGTTATTTCAAAATGTGCTCAGTATAAAAATATTAATGTTTTACTCTTTTTTTTTATCCTAAGTGTTCAAAATCTATTATGTATTTGTACTTAAAGACATCTTAAATTGAACTAGCCACATATGACTGGTGGCTACATACTTGACTATGCAGATTTGAATAACAAGAGTTTCAGAAAAACAATGGTTAAGGAAAAAGAGAGGCAGGGAAGAAATAAAATACTTTAAGAAAATTTCTAAGCACTTAAAGGATACTAGTTTCCAAATAGAGCAGGCTCTCAGAAAGCTCAGCAAAATAGATGAGTTAGACCAAAACCAAAGTACTTCATCATGATACTTCAAAATACCAGTGACTCGGAGAAACCTCTACAGGCTTCAAAGAAAATAAAAAGTAAAAACACAGGTTACAAGGGTCAGATATCAACATGACTTGAGACTTCTCAACAATAATGGATAGATAGAAGACAGTGAATCAATGCCTTTAAAATTCTGAAGGAAAAGCACCACCAAGCTATAATTCTATAACTAGCTAAAAGATCAACCAAGTTAGGGGTTAAATAAAAGGTATTTTCAATTGTCCAAAATCTCAAAAAATTTAACTGCCATTCTACTGAAGGACGTGTTACACCAAACAAGGAAGTAAACCAAGAATGAGGGAAATGTGAGATACAAGAAGCAGGAGAAAAGTAATAGGAATCTTTAGGATGAAACTGTGAACCAGGCTTAGAGGATAACCAATCCAGATTAGAATAGGTCAGAAGGAACTAATGAAGACTTCAAGAAAATCCAGTTGAGAGAATATCTGATGGAAATGATTATGGATGTAGAAAACTGGCAGAGATTTTGGGGTTAAATTAGTAATACACACGCAGGAAACTAAGCAAATAAGAGGTAAAAATATAAAGTTATAAGTTCTTAATATTGAATAATTTAACTATATTAAGAGGTTGGAAAGGGCATGCAGGTAAAGTAGACTGAGTGGTAAAGGAGCTAAACCTCCTCTTTCACAGTGAAATTAACACACAATTCTTAAATGTAAGAAAGGAGCAATACAGGTATCTTATCTGAAAATATGAAGATTAAAAACCACAATAATCAGATGTTGAAAGTGGTTGGTTCTGAGGGAGGGAAAATAAAGGGAAGGAGGAATCTGCCATTTTTTCTTACAAATTTTGTAAAACTATGTCTAAGTCTAAATATACACATATGTAACTTTCGTCTAAAAAGAAACATGGGCAATAATAAATCTGAGTGAATAAAGGACCTTTAGGAGGCCATTGCTAATGAGTGTCCTTATCTTGTAGCATTGAGTATTGGTTCCGCTGCATGGATGTGGATGGAGATGGTGTACTCTCCATGTACGAGCTGGAGTACTTCTATGAGGAGCAATGTGAACGTATGGAAGCCATGGGCATTGAGCCCTTGCCATTCCATGATTTGCTCTGCCAAATGCTTGACCTAGTGAAGCCAGCCAGTGAGGGTAAGATTGAGACATTTTCACTGTTTATCTATGTAATAGAGTGGGACACATAATCTCAATTGTCTTAAATTATTTAACTTTAGAGAGTCTTCCATACAGGCTTCCCAAATATAGAAGTATTTAAGTTTCTCCTGTACTATTAGTGTAGAACCAACAATTGATCGCAAATCCTGTTTAAGAAATGGGATTTTTCCATAGAAATAGAAGGCAATTAGTGATTTCCAGGGACTTGGCAGTAGGGGGTAAAGGGAGATGGGGAGGGTACAGGTTTCCTTTTAGGTGGAAAGAAAATGTTAAAAAAATGAACAGTGGTAATGGATCCACAACATTGTGAATGTACTACTAAAAGCCACTGAATTGTACATTTTAACATAGTTAAAATAAAATGGTAAATTTTATGTTATGTGAATTTTACCTAAAAAATTAAATGGGATCTTTATAATAACATAAACATATACATACACTTTTAAACTTCAGAAGTTTTCACTTGCCAAAACAACTCTTGGAATTTACTCACTTTGTTTTTACACAGGCAAAATAACTCTACGAGATCTGAAGAGATGCAGAATGGCTCACATCTTTTATGACACTTTCTTTAATCTGGAGAAATACTTAGACCATGAACAGAGAGATCCCTTTGCAATCCAGAAGGTACCAGTATACTTTTACTTCTTTTTGAGGGCAGCAATATCAGGGCCTGTGTGCTGCAGATAATAAATGGTCTCTGTCTTCAGGAATCTTGGTATTTAAAGAAGTAACATTTAAAACATTTCATCACATACTGAAAAGAGAGAATAAAGGACCATCAAATGAATTTTATGGCCTGTGTACTTACATTAGAAACTAGCCACAAAAAAATGTTTTTGAAAAAAAAAATGTGTCCTTCTAACTTAAAAAAATTTATCAATAGACACATCTATATTAGAAAGTTTATTTGGCTTGGTTTAATTATACCATTCAATTCTGGAGTGACATGGTGAATAGCTTTTCCCATCATAATGAAAACAAGAAGCTCTCCATGATAGACAGCCTTCAGATTATAGCACTTTTTCAAGCGGTAATGATTGCTATGCATGACTATTAGTTTGAAGTCATTCTACACCTGAATAGAGATAAGCATTCTTCCCTATACACAAAAACCTGTGGACCCTCAGAAAACCCTGGCTATATGATCCCTGTCCAAAAACAAACACTAACAAAAAGCAGAATCACTACTTTCCCTTCTATAATCCCGTTTAAAAAGTAAAAATTATGTTGATAGAAAAGGACTGTTTTAGTCAAGTCCTACAGGAGTACAACCACAGGAAATTTATGGTCTTTTTCTTCCACATGTTGCATAACTGTTTGACCTAAATAGTAGTGAGAATACAAGGATCACCTTCTAAAAATAAATACTGTGCACCTGATTTTGGAGCATATCAAGGTGCATTATCACTAGCCTAAAGTCATTATTATATTTCATTGACTTTAAGATGCCCCATTATTTTATATACCTTTAAGCAAGAAAAAACATTACCCATTGTAAGTCTAAGATGCATGCCAATTTCAGAGATGTTAAAAGGTGGGGTTGGGGTTCTTAAAATGGATTAAGTATAACAATTAACACTTTGATCAATTTTTAGGTACTTGCATTCTTCTAAGCATAACTAACCTTACATCCTAGGGCAATGCTAACTCATTTTCATTATGGTAAAACATTATTTTACCTGAAATATATAATCCAGGATGCTACCCATATTGTACAAGAAAAATAAAATTTATGGCCTTTTCCCCCTTCACTTCTTTTGTGCTATAAATTTTACTTTTAATTTATACCTTTAAATTTTACTTTTCTTTTCTAGAGGTGGTAATTATCAATATTTGTTCTGATCTACAAAGAACATTATTAGTCAGGAAGTGCTCAGTAAATTCCAGGCACTATGTTGAAGAGACACGGGTTATATAGGGATGAAAAAGACTCAGTATATGAAGAATGGGTATATAGAGATAAAAAGGCAGAAGAACAAAAGGCTGAAAGTATACATATTTATATACAGTATATATACTATGCACTATACACACACACAAACAATAGCAAAGGAAATTGAGGGAGAAGGGTTGTTTCTAAGAAGATAGCACAAATGACATGGTGCCTGAGCTGGCTTTGAAAGAAGCAATAAAAATTTTCCAGAGGGAGGGAGGATGGCACGTTTCAGGTGGACATATGCAACCCCAGGTTACTCCGGATAGCTTCTGGGCAAATTGCCAGTGGAGGAGGCACTAGAGAAAGATCTCTGATTAAAAGGCTGAAGAATCTAGACCAAAAGAATCTAGCTGTTGAACAGTTCATTATAATTTCGTGATTAGAGGTGTAGAAAATCACTTTAGGAGTGTTACTTTAGATCTCTTTAATGTATTGAAATGAAACATTCAGACAGATTTTTTTCAGTGATATATAACATTGTGATGACCTATCTCCAATTCTTTGTCTTTGATTATTTTTATTTCCTGTGGCTGTATTCTTTCCAACCAGGATGTTGAAAATGATGTGCCTGAGCCCTCTGACTGGGACAGGTTTGCTGCTGAGGAGTATGAGACCCTTGTAGCAGAGGAGTCTGCACAAGCACAGTTCCAGGAAGGGTGAGTGAATCTTCTTATGTCTTGAACTTTTTTAGCAGGGTAACCATATCAGGAATACTGAAAATGCCTTAAAAATCAAGCTAGTAATCTTTTCCTATATTTGCCATTTTTGAATATCATACAAATGAGTAATTTTAAGCAACTTTAGTTGAATGATTATTTCTCCCAGCAGTCTTTTCTCTTCCCTTCTTAACCAATTTCCTGAAAAGTCTTCTCATGTCCCATTTTCTTTAATGGAGTTGTACCTTTCACTGGAAATTAAGATCGTGTCATTGTGCAGTCATACTACTTTGTTAGTGATGTGAGTAAACTCTGTAAATACAGGAGGAGGCTAAAAAAAACTGAAGCTCTTTTAAGTAATAAAGATGATCATGTTTAAAACAAATCTTTATCATATATGGTTTTCTGCATTCAACCCTGAAAGGAAGGAACTTCTACATAGAATTTATTATAGTGGTAAGAAATTAAATTATCTGAAACTTTTACTGCTTATGCTTACTTAGAACATTTCAGTAACTTTATAATTTGTTGACTCCATCATCTTTTAGCAATTCCTTTACTAGTTCCTCTAATTCTTCCTTAGTCATAATTTCTCTAAGAGTATTAATACTTATTAATGTAATATACTTTTTGAATAGGCAGTACATTCATGATTTAATATTCAAAGAAACAAAAGAATAGTAAAAAGTTTCCTATTACCAGGTTCTCTCCAGAAGCAACCAGTTACCATTTTCTTGTGTACCCTTTCAAAGACAGTCTCCCTCCCTCTCCCTTCACACGTCCTCACACTGTGTGTGTGTGTGTGTGTGTGTGTGTGTGTGTGTGTGTGTGTGTGTGTGTGTGTGTGTGGAGAGAGATACACACATATATATTCTTTATTTCTTCTTTTACACATATAATAGCATACTATATTCATTGTTTGGTACCTTGCCTTTTCCATACTTATATAAAGTTTCTGTTATACAAGATGAATAAGTTTTAGAGAACTTATTCATCTGCTATACAACATAGTTACCTATAATTAAAAATATGGTATGGTACACTTTAAAGTATGTTACAAGGATAGATCTAATGTTCTGCAGAAAAAAAACACAAGGAAAGTTTTGGAGGTGACAGATATTCTTAGTACCTTGGTTATGATGACACAATTGTATACATACGTCCAAACTCATCAAGAGGTATTCATTAAATGTGTACACCTTTTTGTATATCAAGTAAATCTCAATGAAGCTAAAAACAATAACAGCAAAGACTGGGAGAACAGCATGATGAACCACAGACTTGTATTTTATGATCAATGTAGTATCATTGAGGCTTCACAAATATTTTAGGGGCCTTGAGTGTATGAGGAATAAATTAATAAAATAACTGAAAGTTGGAAGGGGGGGGATAAACCAATAAATTGAAGATTATTCCATAGGTGTAGCTGATGAATGCTCTTAAATTTTTACAGCTGCATAATATTCCACTATGCAGTTATACCATTATTTTACAGTCCTTTGTTCATGGGCTATGTTTCACTATTAGAAATATGTTGCAATTAATAATGTTATAACATGTCATTTTATACACATGTAGGATAAATTTCTAGAAAAGTAGCAAACAGTAGCAGGCTTGCAAAGATAGAGGAGGATTTTAGAAAAACCAACAAGAAATGATGCAGACACCCAAAACTGGGAATGGTGGAGAGCCATTTCCATCCTTAAGTCTAAAAGGACAAGGAGATGAAACCATCACCAGAACCCAAAGATAGTAGCTATATGGAGAAGATCACCTAACAGGACTTCCGACCTTCAGTAATGGGATTTAGCCAACCAGTGGCAACCCAGCTAAGAGACAGCTGCTAGAATAAATACCCAATTTCATTCTCCTCATATCCTTCAGTATCCTGCTGGCACTTCCCATTGGCTTCCAACCAGAAACCAGAACACAACAGAGCCCACTGCTGTTGCGTCAACATCCTGGGACACAAGAGACAGGGAGAGAGCAGATCTCGAGGGATAGACATAAACTATCCAGCATGGCAGATAATGTGAAATAGTCTTCCATAGAGACTGTACCATTTTTCACCCCTACTATTAAGTCTTTAATATATTTTTTGAGAGTAATGAAGAAGCCATTACCGAACTACTTCTTTAATCTGGAGATTTTCTCAATATGCATAGCCACAAAACTGAGGTCTCATTTTTATGTCGGTGACCTGGAAACCCTTAAAATCATCATCATTATGAGCCTGACTGCATCAGATGAAAAGACAGGCAAGTAGATTCACAAGCATGATTTAAAGCTTTTTGGCACTGAGCTTCTTTAGTAGGAATTAGAACAAGTTTACTTATCTTATGATGCAACATCACTACTGTTAGGGACATATGGATGTTTGTAACAGTGAAAAATTTGAGGCAATCTAAGTATCTAATAGGAATACTAATAAAATTATCCAACATATACACAGTGCAATCCCATGTGACCATTAAAAATCATTTCGTGGATGTATATTTCTTCGCTATCATAAAGAAAAAAATGGACATGGAAGAAAGGTTTGAAATAGCAAGTAAAATGGAATAAAAAAGAACAATTAAGTATCAGAAAGAAAATTAGGTATATGTAAGGAAAACAAAAAGTATCTAACTTATATGTATTAGAGCAAATGGAACAGAAAAAACATTCAAAGATAATAGAGAAGCTTTTCATAAATAAGGGATGACCTGAATCGGAAAGGTCAGAAGTCACACCATATTCAGAAAATACTGATAATGATTGACCCCAGATATGTGGTGAATTTACCAGAATTCAAAGATAAATAAAAGTTTATTTGGGGGGAGTTCCATTTTTTAAAAATGCAGGTCACCAGACAAAGGGGAAAAAAATCAGTCTTGCCCTAGATACTTCCACAATAAAAATGAATACAGGAAGACCATGAAATTATAGTAGGATCTTGAATACACTACTCACAGCCACAGATGGATAATCAAGACAGAAAGTTAGTAAGGAAATGTTGGCCTTAAATGAAACTTTATGCCAAATGGACTTAATTGATATTTATAGAACTTTTTCATTCCAAAATGACAGAATACATATTTTCATGTGCACATAGAACAGTTTCAAGGATAGACCACATGTTGAGACACAAAAGTAGTCTCAATAAATTTAAGAAGATTGAAATCATACCAAATATATTTTGATACAATGGTATGAAATGAAATTAACAAGAAGAAAAACCACAAATATGTAGAGATTAAACAACATGCTACTGAACAACTATTGAGTCAAAGAAGAAATAAGAGAGCAAAAGATATATAGAGACAAATGAAAATATGACATACTAAAATTTGGGGGATGCAGCCAAATTAGTACTAAGAGGGAAGTTTGTGGCATTACACGCCTACCTCAAGAAACAAGGAAAATCCCAAATAAATAAACTAATATTACACCTTAAAGAACTAGAAAAAGAAGAACAAATAACAAAGTCAACAGAAGGAAGGAAGTAATAGCAATCAGAGTAGGAATAAATGAAATAGAGAACAAAAAGCTGATAGAAAAAAAATAATGAAACAAAGAGCTGGTTCTTTGAAAAGATAAACAAAATTGGCAAACCTATTTAGACTCACTAAGAAGAAAAGAGAAAAGACTAGGCTAACATTACCATGATACCAAAACCAGACAAGGGCAACACACACAAAAAAGAAAATTATAGGTGAATACCTCTGGAAGAACATAGATGCAAAAATCCTAAACAAATACTAGCAAATCCAGGGATGCAAGGATGGTTCAATATCCACAAATCAATGTGATACACCACATTAACAAAATTAAAAAAAAAATCATATGATCAATACATACAGAAAAAGTATTTGACAAGACACAACACGCATGAAACACTCAATAAAATAGGTATAGAAAGAAAGTACCTCAGCATAATAAAGACCATATATGACAGACCCTCAGCTAACATCATATTCAATGGGGAAAAACTGAAAGCTTTTCCTCTAAGATCAGTAATAAGACAAGTATGCACTCTCACCACTGTTAGTCAACATAGTACTGAAAGTCCTAGCCAGATCGGGCAAGAAAAAGAAATAAAAGGCGTCCACACTAGGAATTAAGAAGTGAAATTTTACTTTTTACAGATGGCATGATTCTATATATAGAAAACCCTAAAGGTTTCACCAAAAAAAAAAAAAAAACTATTAGAAACAATAAACACAGTAAAATTGCAGCATACAAAACCAATATACAAAAATCTGTTGCATTCCTATACAAACAAAATATCAGAAAGATAAATGAAAAAAAAAATCCTATTTACAATCACTACAAAAAGAATAAAATATCTAGGAAAAACTTAACAATGGAGGTGAAGGACGTATACACTGAAAATTACAAGACACTGTTGAAAGAAATTGAAGACATAAAAAAATGGAAAGAGAATCTGTGTTCATAGATCAGAAGAATTAACATTGTTTAAATGGCCGTATTGCCCAAAGCAGTAATCCCTATCAAAATCCCAATGGCATTTTTCACAGAAACAGAACCAAAAAAATCCTCAAATTTGTATAGAACCACAAAAGACCCCAAATAGCCAAAGCAATCCTGAGGAAAAAAAAAAAAAAATGTAGGTATCACACTCCCTGACTTAAAATTATACTACAAAGCTACAGTAATTGAAACAGTATACTACTGGCAGAAAAGCAGACACACAGACCAATGGAACAGAATTTGAGAGCCCAGAAAGAAACTCACACACGTATGGGCAACTAATTTTCAACAAAAGAGTCAAAAACATACAAGGAAAAAGGAAAGTCTCGTTAGTAAACAGTGTTGGGAAAACTGGAAAGCCACATGCGAAAGAATAAAACTAGACTACTATCTGACACCATACACAAAACTAACTCAAAATGGATTAGACTTGAATATAAGACCTGAATCAATAGAATACATAGAAGAAAATATCAGCATTAAATTTATGGGCCTTAGTCTCAGAGGCATTTTTATCAACTTGACCC